TAATATATATATATATATAAAATATGTATATATATATGTATTAATTTTTAAAAAAACATATCGTTGTAACTCTACATCATCATAAACTATCTATAAGTATACTGTATACAATATTATAATGTTTCAAACATAAATTTTTATTATAAATGATAGTTTTCAAGCATAATTATTTTCTTATATAGATAGTCATAATTCTTAACATTTGCCAAAATGAAATTGTAATGTCAAAAGTTCCAGTTGCATTCAGAAGTGATAACATAGTTTTGATAAAATTAAAATAAAAAAAAAAAAACTATGCAAAGGTTGCTACATAAAGAGGTATGAGGTTTTAAACATATGATGCAGATCCAATCACTATACATTTAAGGGCTAAGCTTTGATAAATCCGTTTTAAATATTTTAATTTATATTACTTTAGCAAATTCTGCTGTTATTTTTTAAACTAGATGTTCTGCTTGCATATCTCCTAAAACTCATGTAAATTGATTTAACATGTTATTATGTCTCTTCTATAAATTTTGTGGTGTGCTAAAAAGTCCTCGTTTGTTATCCTCTGATAATTCTTACAAATCCTGCAGTGTTTTTTACTAAATAATATTTATTATTAAAATCCTTTTTGCCTTGTACTTATTTTCAGAGGACAGACCCTTGGTAGCACAATTTGCTGCAAAGAATGCTGTTGAGCTATCTGAGTGTGCTGAACTTATATATTCGTAAGACTTACAAATGTTTGTACTATTTTGAACATGAATTTCATTGTTCATTACAACTTAATGCATTTAGTAATAATAATAAGAAGAATTTTTAAAAAAATATATTTATTTTTTAAATAGGCAAACAGATGGCATTGATTTGAATTGTGGATGTCCCCAGAGGTAGTGTATAATGATATAGTTGAATCATGTTTTTCAAAATTAACGAGACACCAGTAATTGATAATGCTCTGTTTCAATTCTACTATTTAACAGTATACTATTTGTGAAGTGTGTCTTGCTCAAATAAAGCCACCTTGAATTTGGGCCAGACAAAAAAAAAAAAAAACAGTCAGAATAAAACGTGTATACAGTAGAGAAATTACCCGGTATGCCCAGAACCATCGCAATCCCGGATGTCTGAATTTTCTGGTTTTCTGGATCGGCCAAGAAATTATGTTATTCAATGTTATATCAAACACAAATTACAATGAAAAAGAGTAAGACATTTTAAAATAAGAAGAAAAAAAAAGAAAAGCTCTCCTAAATTTTGTAAGAAATGTTAGAAAAATAAAATTTAAAAGAATAGAAACATTTACAAGTTTAGACAAGAAAAATGAATATTAAAACCCTGGACAAGGCTATGATCAGCTAAATTAAAAAAAAAAAAAAAACTTTATCTTAAAAGTTATGAATAAAACGAACTGATTGAGTACGAAATTTATTGTGAACGATGGGGAAAAAAACATAGTGGAATCAGATTTGTAATGCTTCATAAAACAATAATCTCCTGTTAGTAATAAATAATTGTATGCTTGGATTAATAAATAATATTCTATTTTATTTTTTACAAAAGAAGACTATTTGTAATGATTGCAGATGTGATTCCACATCAAGAAAAACTTGCAAATGATACCGCACTTCTAAAAAAATAGAATTTATCCAGTAGAAAAATACTGCTTTGTTTATCGTAATAATAATGTATTTTCCGAAAATTATAAAACAACTTGACATAATAAATCAAGGATAACAAAACTGAGTAACTAAAGTAGATTTAAAAAAATTCTAACATGCCAATACTCTTGAGGCATAAGTTTCAAGTTCCTTAACTCGGATATCCAATTGACAACACACAGAAATGATTAAGAATAAATAATAGAAGAATCTTGAAGATGCACCAAATGATGGTTGGTTCGGGAAAAAAATCATATTTTTTTAAATCCCCAATTGCTCAAATTACGATATTACGAAAAAAGGAAGAGTGAAATTCAACAATTTGATTCAGTGTTGTCTTTGATTGAATTGATTCAATGACAATGATAATTTCCGAATTTAGGGTAAAATTGCGTTTTCCCCTGACACTTCTCAGGGCTTACAAATCCATCATTTTACTTTTAGACCATATCATTGTTCAATTTCCGAATTTTCACTCCAGATTTTAAATTCACCAGGATCCGAGTTTAGAAAAAGAATCATACTTATTTTTTTAATGTCGTTTTTATTTTTAAAACATCGTGTTCTTATAAGGCGTGGCAAAACTTTGTTGCGTTTTTAATTAAATGTTGCGATTTTATAATTTTATTTAATCCGCTTTTTTAAATAATGCGTTAAAAAAATGAACTACTCATATTTGGATTCTAACAAATGTTTTATAAATCTCTTTGGAATCATTTAATTGTACCAATAATAAAAGTTTATTCATATTTATTTGGATGAATTATGAATTTTAGTAGTAGTAGTCTGGACAAAGCTTGATGATTTTTGTATTTTTCCCTCCCACTAGCACAGTCATTTATGTTTATAATTTAAAAAATTCTTCTGATTAGTTTTTAATTGATTAAATTAAATTTTACTATATTGCTACTTTATAATTGAATAAAAAATAGCCGTATTTTAATTGTTTGCATATTTCCATTTCACTTTTTTTACTTTTTATTAGTAAAGTACAAAGATATATTTTTCTTTTTATTCCCCTTTTACTGATACGCACCTGCAATGCATATCTCCCACCTCCTCATAAATCAAAGAGAAAACGCAATCAGCATGCCACTCCTTTATGTTTAATCAGGGTGGCCACCCACCTGGAATTATCAGGGAATTTTTTTGTATTGGAAAAAACTTGGAATAATCAGGGAAATTTGGATAAAAACCTGGAAAAATCAGGGAATTTTAAAAATAAGCTGGAAATTTTTTTAAAAATAATTTTACTATCCCTTATACCCACTTTATTTAGACGGAAATTTATCGTCAAAAAATTTAAATATTATCAACTTAACTTTGTTTTTATTAAAATTTACTTTGTACTTTGTTTTATTGTAATTTGTACTTTTGTTTACTTATGTACTTTGTTTTTATTAAAATTCTTTCCATTATCACCCTGCTAAACTAGAATGCCATATGAAACTCTCCCGTGGTTGCTAAATGAATGGAGAAACCCTTGACCTCTTTGGAAATTATGGGACTATACAGTTTAGGAAAGGTAAAGATTGTGGGGGAGGTGGAGGAAAGGGTTAGGATATTTGCTTCTATTAATAAAAGTTTTTTTTCATCTTCATCTAGTCCGTGGGCCTTTATCGTTCAAGTTTGTTCAGATGCTTTGCGGGCAATTTTTCTTTTAACAAAATGTTTTTGTATTTTTAACTTTATAAAATTCTCCAAAGAATAATTGGTTATAATTTAATAATAGACTTCATCATGTAATTTTTTCTTAAAGCTTTTGTATTATTTTTTGTTTGCAATGAATTATTTTTTCCTCAGCCAAGCCAACCAATCACCCCTTACAACAAAATCATTACAATTGTTGCATTGATGTTAATTTTCTGGATTTTATTTTAACCTTTAATAACAAATTTAATTTTAGAAAAAGGTTCTTTTACAAATCACTATTTAAATGTTAACATTTAATTTTACGTTTTGTTGGTTAATATTTGATTTATGATTTGAATTTTGCATTAATCAGAATGTTGAAAGTTAGTAAATATTGCTAACATTTCAGAGATGATATTTGGAAAACTATTTCTCCTTTTACTCTGAAAGCTGGCAGAGACAAGGAATCTATAGGAAACATGTTAAATGTTGTACAAACTTAGTATATACATAGAAAAAATATTTACATGTGTTTATTAGAAAAAAAATAAATATGTTTTTTTTTTTTTTTTTTTTTTTTTTTTTTTTTTTTTTTTTTTTTTTTTTTTTTTNGTAAACAAGGTATCATTTCCAAAGTAAAAAATTGAAGAGTTAGAAATACTGACTTATAAATATCAGTTTTCAATAAGTTATAGGCTGTTAAATGAAGGGCTACATCATTTGAATTTTTTAACCGTGGTAAGAGAATCTCTAGCAAAGTACTTTTTAAAATTAAAAGAAAATTCACACTAATAATAGAAAAGGGAAAAAATAATAATTAAAGTAAACTGTAACGAAACAGGTTATCTTGCACAAATGTTTAGAAACATTTCGTATTCTGATTTTAAAAAAAAAAAAAAAAAATTAAGATAATTTTTGGGTATTTTATGTGCGACACCAAATATATTTATAAATCAATACTTTAATTATATATTTGTAATTGTACTGTGCCACTAGGATATAACGTAATTAAATTATATTTTTTGTTCAAAGCAAGATTTTAATATAATAATATTTTTATTGTAAATTTCTAATTAATTATTTTTGCGTTAGACACCATTGCTTTTCTTTTCATTATATTTGCTTTTATTTCTATCTCTTATTTTGCTTTTTCTTTATAAAATATAGTGAAATATGAATGGAAACAATTGAAATATTCTTTTAGATTAATTTACAATAATGTATATCCCCACCTTTACCTATTATAATTTGTTTAACAACCTTTCCCCTTAGAACACATACCAAATTTCAAATTAATTATATATCATGTTTTGCAAGTTGAGAACTGCATTAAATTTTTTATTCAAATGTCAGCTTCAGAATTCAGTCAAGTTTACATTTCAATTACAAACAAATTCACATAGTTTAGACAATTTGTAAATGAGTAATAATTTTTTGCTTTCATGTGATTTACCACCAACTCCAATAATTTAATCAATTTAATTTGCACATATTATGATCAGTTTTTATAAAACAAATTGTTTTTCGATAGGTTATGATATTTTATGGAAATTTATGTTCCTTTTTTTTACGTCTGACACCATGTAATTGCCTATTTGTAAAACACAATTAACTAATCTAAACTGAGAAGCCATGTAGTTAGATTGGAATTTTTTAAATATTCTAATTTCAAATAAGAAAAAAAAGAATATAATTTAAATAATTTTATCTAGTTTTTTCTATAGAATATAGAACAAGAAATTTGACAATTTTGCATTTGCGAATACTGAATAGCTCTTAAAATAATAGTGCTAATTCAAAACAAACAACATTATTTGAACATTCACTTTAGATATGGGTTTAAAGAAAATTATATCAATGAATTTTATGAAGAGCACTGTTTGGATTAAATGCAATATAAAATGGCTTCATATTGAAATGTAAATAAATATAAAAATTTATTAATGTATAATTGCTTGGAATTATTTTCTTTTGCAAACAAATACCTGGAAATTTTAAGATTTTTACTGGAAAACCTGGCAAAATCAGGGAAATTCGAAACCTGATTTGAGTGGCCATCCTGTTTATTGACAGCAGCTTATATCAGAAAAACAATGATTCTTTCGGACACACATTAGAAAATAAAACATTTGTCCCTTTCCTGCCCCCTCTCAATCTAAAGATCTTTAAGGTCATGGATATTGAAATTTTCTCTTGATAAACAGGGAGAAAAATACCCCCTCCCTACACTCTTCTCTAATCAATTTCAAGGATGAGTCAAACTTCTGCTTTTCTCTTCGATCGTTCTAGTGCAAAATGGCAGGAAAACCAAGCAAAATTTCCCCCCATTTTCTGGATACCGGATAATGGTTCTATACTGTATTCAGGAAGTGTAGAGACAAATACATCTCTATCAGAAGTAACTCAATATCAGTTTCACCTAGACTTCTCTAAATAAAGCCACTTGTATTAATGGCCAATGTACCTACCATTTTTATAAATGATTTGTTGCTACATTGTTACATAACTTGGAGGATAGTAGAATTAATATTATCTCTGGTTGCAATGATAGTAGCCTAATTCTGTCACTGACTGAAACTTAGTCTTGCATACTCTCT